TGATTGATATCCCAAGTTCTAAAATCAACAAGTTGTGCAACCAAGAGTGTATCAAGATACAAGTATTGCATTAAGCCACGTTCCATGCATAACCAAGATTTTGAAACACACAAGTCATGCCCTAGATTCTCAACTATAATGGCATGCGAAATGTCAAGAAATCATAGTGTGTATCTATATAGACTACAACCAAGATATATAGCACATGGAGTCCATTGTTATAAATATACCTCTAGCATAAGATTAATGTTTAATTATTTGTTTAACAACTCTTGAACAATTAAATCATTACAATGTAAGGGTGCAAGTTCATTAACTACATTAATGGAGCTAAGTTGCAACAAGTCATGATACATGATAGAAAGGTAAAAGTCCCATGAAATAGATGTCCAATTCATTAGAATATTAAGTAGAAATTAATTACTCTAATTAATTAATTTCTCTAAAAATCAAAGTTGTCCAAAAATTCTCAAAATAATATATGTGAATGTCCATTCCATGGTGATTGCAAATATCACATCAATTTCACAAGGTGAGCAAGATAACATCACGTGGAATTTAATTAATTTAAATTAATCAAATCTCTAGATTTCAAAAGTTGTTCAAATAATTCAAAATTAATATATAACAAGGACTAAGTCATGGCCATGCCATATATCAAGTCAAAAATGGAATATAAGCAAGGTACAATTAAGTAGAGTTTAAATCAAATTAAATTCATTAAATCTCTAGATTTAAAAACTCATTTAAATTACCCCAAATTAATATATAACAAAGATCAAGTCATGGCCATGCCATCTATCAAGTCTAAAGTGAGTTTCAAGCAAGTCATAATTAATCATTAATTTTTCAAATTGATATAAAGCATGCATACAACTTGTATTTCACTATAAAAACAATTAAAACCACTTGAAAGATAAACTTTAACACCCTCTACCTCATAACCAAGATTTTGAAACACACAAGTTATGCCCTAGATTCTCAACTATGATGGCATGTGAAATGTCAAGAAATCATAGTGTGTATCTATATAGACTACAACCAAGATATATAGCACATGGAGTCCATTGTTATAAATATACCTCTAGCATAAGATTAATGTTTAATTATTTGTTTAACAACTCTTGAATAATTAAATCATTACAATGTAAGGGTGCAAGTTCATTAATGACATTAATGGAGCTAAGTTGCAACAAGTCATGATACATGATAGAAAGGTAAAAGTCCCATGAAATAGATGTCCAATTCATTAGAACATTAAGTAGAAATTAATTAATCTAATTAATTAATTTCTCTAAAAATCAAAGTTGTCCAAAAATTCTCAAAATAATATATGTGAATGTCCATTCCATGGTGATTGCAAATATCACATCAATTTCACAAGGTGAGCAAGATAACATCACGTGGAATTTAATTAATTTAAATTAATCAAATCTCTAGATTTCAAAAGTTGTTCAAATGATCCAAAATTAATATATAACAAGGATTAAGTCATGGCTATGTCATATATCAAGTCAAAAATGGAATATAAGCAAGGTACAATTAAGAAGAGTTTAAATCAAATTAAATTCATTAAATCTCTAGATTTAAAAACTCATTTAAATTACCCCAAATTAATATATAACAAAGATCAAGTCATGGCCATGCCATATATCAAGTCTAAAGTGAGTTTCAAGCAAGCCATAATTAATCATTAATTTTTCAAATTGATATAAAGCATGCATACAACTTGTATTTCACTACAAAAACAATTAAAACCACTTGAAAGATAAACTTTAACACCCCCTACCTCACAAGAGGATTGTTCCTCTTGAATCCAAGGTAAATCAACACAAAATGGCAAACCCTTCAAGGGTTATGTAGAGGAGGATAGAGGGAACAAAAAGTATTCCCAAGGTTAATCTTGGAAATCAATGGAAGGTTCTCAAAAATCAAAGTCAAGGCCTAAGCATCAAGCTTCTCTAATGGTGGCTAGGGTTTGTGGTGAGGAAGATAATGACATAATGTGAAGAAGTGTGAGTGGAGGAAATAGAAATCCTCCACTCACTATATGATCCTACACCATGGTCAACACACACATCTATGGTCAATTGCATAAAAACCCTTCTTTAAAACCATAATCCAAAAGTGGCCCAAAAATAATTGCTAGACTTAATTTGGAGCATACACTTGTCACTCATCCAAGCCAACAAGTGGTTCAATCCTAGGCCAACAAATAGGTGAATCTCCACCCTCCATGTGTCAAGAGATTAAGCTTCCAAATGGTTCCACCAAAATGTCAACAAGTGGTTCCATAGGAGTGTGACACTTGTCACACTGTCCAAAAATTGCAAAAAGGTCCTTTTTTGAAAATATCTTTCAAATTAAATTGCAAAAAAGTCCCCAAGATGAAAATTACTTTATTTAATTACACAAAAACCCCACAAGTTAAGAATATTACAAAAAAATTATGCATGTATACCCTTTACAAGAAAAGTAAACACTTAGAATGCTATTCTAAGAAAATAGAAATACACATTTCTAAGAAATCATATACTATGAGTGCATGCAAAAATGGAAGCAAAATCGAATACGAAAAGCGAGGTTGTGCCAACAAAGTGACAAACGGGAAAAAGACAAAAATTGAATAGTGTCGAAAAAAAACAAAAATGTGGAAATGACTCGGTCCTTAAAGGAAATTGTCAATCCAAACGAAAGAGTCTCGGAAACCATTTCCAAGCACTTGAGATGATACTCAGCGATGAGAAATAGAACCCGAAAAAGAAAATTAAACGGAAAAAATTTATTCGTAAAATTTGAGAAAAAGGAAAGGAGGGAAAATGATCGGGTCATTGCAATAGAAGAAAAAAATATCAATTCAGTTTCATCAATAAAATTCACTCCAATTTCCAACCCAACTAAAAAACCCTAGAATCACACACAATTCCCCTTCACAAATCTGCAAATTCAAATTAGATTTTACAGAAACAAGACCTAAAAACCGTAAGTAAGGTAATCTATGCATACAATTGTTCTATATATGTTTACTTACATGAACAGTTATATATATGTGTGTGTGTGTGTGTGTGTGTGTGTGTGTGTGATGGTTTTACACTCAAGTCTAATGGAATTAAATGGTACTTTGTCCTGTTTAAGAATATGAAAAAATTGAATTTGTTGAAACTGGGATGAGTGTGCTTGATTCAATTCTGACCACTTTCAAGTTGTTTCATTTGATTTCTGAAATGGGTTGTAATTCATGAATTAAACATATTCTGCTTTGCTGAATTACTTCTTGAATTTTTAGTCCGTCGGAGTTTCTCAAATTTTTGCTGCTAGTGAATTTATACTTTGAATCTCCCTGTAAATTTGTGGGGTTGGATATTTTTCTTGAATTCATCCAAAATGGAAAAGGTAGGCGGTATGAATTTTAATATTAACTTTTTAAAATTTTAATTTTAATTTTTTTCCCCCCTAGCAATAGATTATGAAAGAGAAATATTTTTATTTTTATTTTATTTTAAAGAAATACCAACCTCCCCTAAATAGATTCCGAAAGAAGATCAACACTAATGAGATATTAGTGAGATTAAGAAGAAGCTACTGGAGCCACACATCCCCCATTCACTTTACCAACCCCATTAGCATTTAGCAACATGGTGGTTGCATTCTCTCGGATCTAATCTCTGGGAATCCAATTCAAAACATGATCCCATTGTTGAGTTTTAGTATTTGCTTTACATCTTCCAAAATAAGAGAAGATATTAGGTAGATAGCTAAAAAGATGTACTGACAGAGCTAAAAAGATACCTAATATCCCCCAGGTAGATAGCATTGACCCTCTGTCTCACATTTCTTGAATCTACTAATCATGGAGCCTGACAACCACCATGATTTTGAGTCCAAGTTGCTCCATATGCATAGCAAAACTGAAATCCACATCTGAAACCATACACTTTAGTTAGATACGCACATTCTTCGCAACTTTTATTCTGACAATGCAAGTATCTTTTGTATAAATTTCTCAAATTGAAAAGACAACAAGCTGGGTTCAGATTGCATTCTACACCATGAAACCTTCCCTATTTATAAGTATACATAAATTCAACCAGTAAACATTATAAAACAATAACAACAATAATATTAAATTGTAAGAATGGTTTCTATTTTATTAATCCCGATGGTCCCAATTAACAAGGACTTCCATTCCCTATGTATGATTGATTTTCATTCGATATGGAAATAAAATAAATAGAAGATTTCGGGGTCTGAATTAGCTTGAAAACTCCATCCTTTTTTTGATATATATTTATTACTAATTGATTCTTTAGTTTATATGTAACATTATAGTCAAGTTTATTAATATAAGAAGAATAATGCACTTTTTGTCCATGTTAGGGCTCGAACCCCTTCAATTCCTTTCTTTTTAGAGATGAAGAGATTATATTATTGGACTAGTCGTTGGGTTTATATATATAAATATAAATATAAATATAAATATATATATATATATATATATATATATATATATATATATATAATTCAGTGTTATAAAAATAAAATAAAAACCCTCCTTGTGAGTTTTAAGAGTGATCTATAATTGGGTAGAAGGTAGGGAGAGTTAAGAGTGACCTATAATAACTTTTTTGAAATAATTTATTAATACATTTATATTATTGGGTTGAACATGCATATGAGGAAATGATTTGAGCATGCATATGGACTGGATGGTTCCCTATTACCTTTTGTGTTGTCTTGAGTTCTTGAAGTAATATATATTATTTTTGTTGTTATTAATTATAGTATTGTTATTAATCTGTTAGATGGATATGAATGTTAAGAATGTGGAATAATGTGGTGATTATCTCACAATTGAAGAAGAAGGGGTGGCTGAAGTTACGAAAGATGGAAAATTGTTATGGGATGACTCACTCACTGAAAAATTCAGTAATATTATAGAGGAACAAGTTAGGCTTGGTAATCGTACTGCCACAACATTTAATCCAAATGGTTGGACTAATATGGTAAAAGAAGTAAAGGTTCAAACAGGGAGAAAATTTAACAAAACCCAACTTCGGAATAAGTTTAACCAATTGAGGAAAATTTATATCAAGTTTAAGAAATTGTTATCGGAGACTGGTGTAGGATATAACCATGAGACGGGTATGGTTATAGTTGAGGATGAGAGATGGGACAGATTGAGCAAGGTTAGTAATTTAATTATTAGTCCTAAACAAATAATAAAATATCGTATATTATTTGTTATGAGGTTAATACTGTAACAAAATTTGTAGGTTATTACGGGTGCAAATAAGTTTCACAGACATGGATATAAGCATTTTGGCAAGATGTCGACTATATTTGGGGACACATATACAACAGGGATGCATACCCACCCTTCCACTACAGCACCCCCCGTAATCATTTTGCCCACTCCCAATGATGACGATGATGAGGAAGAGGGTTGTCACGTCAGTCCCCCACCTTTACGTACAGATAAGAAAGCCAAAAGAGATGGTTTATCTCCCGGTATGGCTACATTCTTGTCAAACATGGATGAGAATTTTGCGAGGAGAATTGAGAGAATGGAAACTGCAATAGAGAAAACAGTTAAAACATCTTCTATTTCTACTCGTGTATCTTCTTGTGAGAAAGGATATGATGAAGTTCTCTCTCCCTTTAAAAAGGATGGAGATGATGAAATGTTTGATGCCTACATGTTCCTTTTACAAAAATACCTGGAATTGAGATGACCCAATTCGCTAAGGTATCAAAGTTGTTACATGATTATGAGAAGTGGCATAAATTTTTTCTTTCGCTATTTGAGGAGATGAGAATTGGTTGGGCACTGAATGTTTGAGTCTTTCTTTATGGATGATTATGTTTTGTTGTTTGTTTAACTTATTACTATCTCACATTTGGATGACTGTAATAACTAAATACTTTTATTTCTTGGATGACTGTACTGCTATTATTTAAATGTTTTTCTTATTTATGACGACCCTAGTTTTTCAAGCCAGTGCGTCCTGTGATGAACAGAAGATTGACCCAATAGCGGATCCAGATGTGGAAGTAAGAAACAAGACAATGGTCTCCCAAGGCACAACACACCTCTAAGACACTTTGATGACCTTCCATAAGGTCGTGGAACTCAATGAGAACTGACGCAGAAGAAAAAGATCAAAAAATAACAATTAAGCCCCTAGGGGCAAAATAGTCATTTTACATGAAAATGTCGTCCCTAGAATGTATATCATTCCTGAGACACATCCGTGACTTCCCATAAAGTCACGGAACTCAAAAGAAAGTAGCGGAAGCGGAAAGCAAGAAAAACTGGACAAAAATAGCCCCAAGGGCAAAATAGTCATTTTTAAAAATATGGATTTGGGTGCCACCGAGCACACCGCTGGAAAGACAACGAAAAACTAATCAAGATGGACTCAAGAATTGCATGATTCGGAGTCTAGACGAAGGAGAAACGGTAAAACGAAGAAAAATAAGCACTTAAGGCTGAAAGGGTAAACTGGTAATTATCCAAAAAGATTTGGGTGCAACCGAGCATGCCGTTGGAAAGACAGCAAAAAATTAGTTAAGTTTAAAAAAAGTTCACTCAATTTGGAGTCCAGACGAAGGAGAACGAGCAAAAACAAAGATTGACGTCACGACGTCGAGACGAGCATCTCGCGAGCATCCTGACAAGCCCCATGACATGCTAGGGGAAAAAAAAAAAGTTTCAGCTAGAAATGAGAGCCGAAACGAGGTCCGAAACAAATTTTTCTGAAAAAACACGAAAAAGAAACCCCCCCTCCCCCTAAAATCAAGTTTTCTACCTGATCATGCAAAAGGAAACGAAAAAAACTCACTGCAAAATCCCCAAAATGCCCCTAGATCAAAAGAGGTCAAGAGAGCAAAAAGCTGCTATAGTAACTGTCCACATCTGAGAGCAAAAACGGGCTATCAAATAAATTTTTCTGGAAAAATACAAAAAAAAAACACCCCTAAAATCTAGTTTTCTACCCGGCTATATAAAAGAAAATGAAAAAATACATTGTGAAATACCCAGAATGCCCCTAGATCAGAAAAGGGCAAAAAAAAAAAAAAAAAACTGATGCCTTATGGAATTTCTGAATCTGTCAACAACTGAGAGCAAAAGTGATCTAATAGATGGATTTTTCTGGAAAAACACGAAAAAGAAACCACTCCCAAAATCAAATTTTTTACCCGGCATCGCAGGAGAAAATAAAAAAACACACTGTGAAATGGCCAAAATGCCCTAAGATCAGAAAAGGGTTAAAAACTCAAAAAATAAAACTTTGCACCAAGTATGCATTTGACCCTAAATGTATTTTTAGGTTGAAACGAATGTGCAAACAAGTGTAATAAATGATTCTAAGCGCGTAGAAAAGGTCCGGGGCTCCCGAGAAGCCCTGACTCAAAATCCGACCCCCCGACGGCCAAAATGATAAAAATGAACTTGGAATCGGAATTTTGAAAACTAAAAATATAAAATAGAGTCAAATTACCGTTTGGCCCTTGGTCACACTTCATACATGATTAATGAGACCCATAAAAAGGGAATTCCCACACCCGATGCAAAAGTAATGAAGCAATGACTTATGAATTTTCAAGGTTTTTATAATATTTCATGAAATCAAGAATTACATAAGATGCAATATAAATGTCATTGGCCTTTGAGGCGGTCTTATCTCATACAAGTCAAATACATCGTAAAAGGTGTACTTATGTACACATTACATATATGGAATCAAAGATACAAGTTTTGACATATAAGGGTACAAAATGACATTTCATGCTAACATTTGCATGAAATGTAAACTTAAAAGCTACAAGTCATCCAAGGAATGATGAGCATCACGAACCAAGTCTTCGTACCTGAAAAATATTCTGGTAACTTTGGGGTGAGTAACATAAAAGTACTCGTAGGGTGCATAGACCAGGTAATTTACAAATTATCACCTTAAGGTGAAACAAGTCAAAGGGGCTCATGCCACTTAATGTCTATGTCAAAGTGAGACTCAGGGAGAAATCTAAGCTACCTTAGAGTATTTCTAGCATAAACCACATCATTCATGCAATTTAAATGACATAGGAGCACATTATGTAACGCAACAAGACATAGGTATCCAAAGTTATCAACTTTTAACCTAGAATGCGATAACTATTGAAACGGTTCATGCCACCTATAATCTAAGTCAAGATACTTATATAAGATCATTCTTAAGTCATATCAACATGAAGCAACATGTATCACGATGTCTATGAAATTGAACAAGGTTGGGATAATCCAAAGAACACGACAAGTTTATAATTTAGTATAAATCACATTTTCAATGAAATTGAACAAGGTTTGGAATAATCCATACAACATGATAAGAAGGGTACTTGAATACAAGGATCACATTATCAATGCAATTAACATGATTAAAACATTCCAATTAACACACAAGAATAATACATGAAATCAAGGATAAGGCATAATATCTATGTAATTAATAAGATTGAAGCATTTCACATAACACGACAAGTTTTAAATCTTCAAGAAATAGCAACTTGAAATTTAAAGAGTAAAATCAACCAATGTGGATACTCGGATCTTGCCCGGATTAAAACCGTACTCTTGGGATCACTTTAGGGCTACTAACCGATGGGTACCTTCCCCTAATGCGCACTATAGTATAGAGAGCTCTCTATCTCCCGTACTTGAACCAAGTCTTAACCATGTCGATTCTTGATTGATATCCCAAGTTCCAAAATCAACAAGTTGTGTAAATCAAGATAGTATCAAGACACAAGTAATGCATTAATGCATAACCAAGATTTTGGAAACACACAAGTCATGCCCTAAATTCTCAACTATGATGGCATGTAAAATGTCAAGAGGCCTTGGTATGCATCTACATAGACTACAAACTAGGATTTAAAACACAAGGAATCCATTGATGTAAATATACGACAAGTATAAGATTAATGATTTAATTATTTACTAAGTAAGACATGGATAATGTAACGACCCGGTCATTTGCCTTCCTTTCCTTTTTCCTGAAATTTTACGAATGAATTTTTTTCGTTTAATTTTCTTTTCTGAGTTCTGTTTCGTGTCGCTTAGTGTCATCTCGAGTGCTCAGAATTTTTTTCTGAGACTCTTTCATGTGAATTAACAACTTCCTTTGAGGACTGAGTCATTTCTGTATTTTCACTTTTCGGACACTATGCGCCTTTCGTCATTTTCCCTATTTCGTCTTTTTCCCTATTATGTCTTTTCCACCTTTGTCACATTGTTGGCACAACCTCACTTTTCATGCTCGGAGTTGGTTTTTGACTTCACGTGCCTTCATCTTGAGTGATTTTCTCGAAATACGTATCTTTACTTTTGCAAGAAAGTACTTTGGTTGCTCCCGGTGTCCATAGGGGCATGGATGCACAATTCTTTAGAATCTTTTTCATTTCCTGGGGTGTTCTTTGTAAATATATTTTGAAGATATTTTATTTCAGGGGCATTTAAGAAAATATCTTCCATTCTGGGGCAGTTTCGCAGTTCACTTTTTTTGTAGGGGCCATTGTGCAATTAACGAAAGTTATTGCAAAATATCTCGTCTGGAGCCTGGATCCTCATACAGGATTCATTTTCACTTTTTGTTGACTCGTAAATTCATAGAATTCCGTTCTGATCGTTTTTCTCCAGTTTCAGAATTTTTGAACCCAGTTGCCGCCGAACTTGTTCGGGACATAACTTTCTGCTCGGGACTTAGTTTTTGACGTCATTTCTTCCATTGTTCATATTTTCTCATTTTGAATCTTTTTTGTTCACGGAGTTTTGCCACTTGAGCGCGTTTACTCAAAATCCACTTTTTCGGACCCGGCGGGGCCCGTTCGGGGCACTTTTTGAGATTTCTATAAAAAGGGGATGAGATATTTCATTTTTCATCTTCCCCACTCTCTATGCACGACCTGAAGCAGTCATGGATGTCCATGGAGCTGCCACCTTCTCTCTCCTCCTTTGATTTAGTTTTCCTAAGTGAAAAGTCTTCGGCTTTCACGTTTTTTGTTCCCCTCGACGTGTTCTATCATTCCCCCTTATTAGAATTCATTTCTGACCATTTATTAAGTTTGGGTTTGAGGTCAAGTTGTGATTTTCATGGGGCTTCCTTTGGATTCATGTAGATCGTGTTGGTTTCGGCGAATTCGGGACACTTTTTTTTCAGTGGGGATTTGAGGTTTTCATCTCAAATTGAGGTAGGGGGTGTTCTAGGTTGCTTTCTTGTTATATAGCATACTTGTGATGCTTATGCTACTTGTTTACATGCTTGGATATTAAATCTAGAGATTTTAGTTGTTTATTTTCTAGCATGTGATTTGATTTTTCCGGTTGCCTATAGCCTTGTTTAAACATGTGGCATGATAGAATATTACCCCTTGGTATGTTGATTAACATATATTAAATGGAGAGAAATTGGTCAAGTAACGAAGATTTTATTTAATATTTTACTAGAATAAAATATTAAATCATGTGGCCTTAACTAGCTTGAAATTAATATGTGTTAGCATATTATATTAGGCCTTAGCATGCTCTTCAACATAGTTGAATTTGAAAGTAATTGGAGGTGTTTTGAAAATTAGTAATTATTAATTAATTTACCCCGAGTGCACTATTCACTCTATTTAAATTTCGACTTGATATTCTTGACTTACATGCCATATAGCTTCACATATATTTGATTTAGAATATTCGGTT